ATGACTTTGCATTTGGCTGGATTGAATTCGAGAAGCCAGTTACTGGACCACATGTCCAGCCTGTCCAGGTCTCTTTGCAGTCCTGCCTCATCCCTCGTCCGATTTAATTCTTCTCATCAACTTCACGTCATCTGCGAACAGGGACACTTCAGAGTCTATTCCTTCCATCATGTCATTCACATATATCAAAAATAGCACTGGTCCTAGAACTGACCCCTGTGGGACCCCCTCGTAACAGGCGCCCACTGTGATACCTCTTCACGTACCATGACTCGTTGCTGCTCCCTGTCAGGTATCCCCTTATCCATTGCAGTGCCCTCCCTTTTACATGCGCCTGATCCTCCAGCTTCTGCACTAATCTCTTGTGGGGAACTGTGTCAAAGGCCTTCCTACAGTCTAGGAAAACGCAATCTACCCACCCCCTCTCTCTCGTGTCTTACTTCTGTTACCTTGTCATAAAACTCCAGGAGGTTTGTGATACAAGATTTGCCTTCCATGAACCCATGCTGGTTTTCATTTATAATCTTGTTCCTTTCCAGGTGTTCGACCACTCTCCTCCTGATAATCTTCTCCATGACTTTGCACACAATACATGTCAGAGAGACAGGTCTAGTTTAGTGTCTCGTTTCTGTTTCCTTTCTTAAATACGGGGACTACATTAGCTGTCTTCCATTTCTCAGGTAGTTGCCCAGTTTCAAGGGATGTGTTGAAGATTGTGGTTAGAGGCACGCACAGCATCTCTGCTCCTTCTCTAAGGACCCATGGGGAGATGTTGTCCGGTCCCATCGCCTTTGAGGTGTCAAGGTCACTTAAGAGCTTCTTCACCTCCTCCTCAGTTGTTCGTATGTCATCCAACGCTTGTTGGTATATTCCCTCTTGATGTTCCCTTCTGTGCTGTTTTCCCACAGCCCTTCCTGTCTCTACTGTAAAAACTTCCTTAAATCTCCTGTTCAGCTCCTCACATACCTCCTGATCATTTCTTGTGAGTTCTCCACCTTCTGTCCTTAATCTGATCACCTGGTCTTTGACTGTTGTCTTCCTCCTGATGTGGCTATACAACAGTTTCGGGTCAGTCTTGATTCTCGATGCTATGTCATTTTCATACTGTCGCTGGGCCTCCCTCCTTACCTGTGCGTACTCATTCCTGGCTCTGCGACTGATCTCCCTATTTTCGTGTGTTCACTGCCTTCTGTACTTTTTCCATTCTCTATTGCACTTTGTTTCTTCCTCCTTACACCGTCGGGTAAACCAGGGGCTCGTTCTGGTCTTCCCGTTGTTACTGTTGCCCCTGGGAATAAACCTTTCCACTGCCTCCTTGCATTGTGTGTGTGTGTGTGTGTGTGTGTGTGTGTGTGTGTGTGTGTTGTGTGTGTGTGTGTGTGTGTGTGGGTGTGTGGTACTCACCTAATTGTGGTTGCAGCGGTTGAGACTCAGCTCCTGGCCCCGCCTCTTCACTGAGTGCTGCTAGGCCCTCTCTCTCCCTGCTCCATGAGCTTTATCATATCTCACCTTAAAGCTGTGTATGGTTCCTGCCTCCACTACCTCACTTGCCAGACTATTCCACTTCCTGAAAACTCTGTGACTAAAGAAATACTTCCTAACATCCCTTTGACTCATCTGGGCCTTCAACTTCCAAGTGTGACCCCTTGTTTCTGTGTCCTCCCACTGGAACATCCTGTCTCTATCCACCTTGTCTATTCCACGCAGTATTTTGTATATTGTTATCATGTCTTCCCTGACCCTCCTGTCCTCCTGTCCTCCTGTCCTCCTGTACTCCAGTGTGTGTGTGTGTGTGTGTGTGTGTGTGTGTGCGTGTGTGTGTGTGTGTGTGTGTGTGTGTGTGTGTGTGTGTGTGTGTGTGTGTGTGTTGTGTGTGTGTGTGTGTGTGTGTGTGTGTTATGTGTCTGTGTGTGTGTATGTGTGTGTGTGTGTGTGTGTCTGTGTGTGTGTCTGTGTGTCGTGTCGAATAGGTAAAACTGGTCAATTAGCAAGAACTGATTCCTAAAAATTTCTCTTTTACGTTTAATGATATATATTTTTCATTTATGTTAATGTAAAAATTAATAATTTCACACCAAAAGAACCTTAGAAAACTTACCTGACCTTATTTTAACAAGCGCAATTTAATTTAGCCTAATCCAACTAAATACATTATACATAAGTTTACAACAATTTAATAATAAACAAACACAATAAAATATATTTTATTCGTTAGGTTCAGAATTAGTTTTGCGAAATTATTGCATAAACAAATTTTCACTTGCCTTTCACGGCAAGAGGAGAGTTGCTATTTAATTCAAGTTCCCCACTTGTTTTGTTTCTCACATTAGTGCTCAACAATCAATATTACTTACTCTCTCCTTTGTAGCAAGTCTCTAATCCATACATTGTATATCAGTCGTAGATTGGGTAACTTTTAATTTAACTCATGTAACTTTCAAAGAGGTACTCTATCAAAGATTTGTTTTAATACGACTTGATAAAGCTCTACACAAAGCTTTATCAAGCCTCTGCTTAAGATAAAGATTTTCTTTCTGCGATGAGTCTTTTCTTTAGAGGGGCTACTGTTGCTTAAAAATATCTGCTTCTTGAACCTTGTGAAGGTGGCCGCAATGATGTGTTTGTGACCTTATCTGGGGAATGAGAGGTAATCGGGTTTGATCCAAGGAAGAGAAGAGTTGCTCCAGTACATTAGATCAAGGCTCCTTCACCAGCATCAATGCACTTGCTGAGTTGAAGTGGTTCCATTCCTGGCGAGTCAGGTTGAACGCTCTGTTCTGTAATCTCCTCTACCGTAGTAAAGTGTCTATGACCGCCAGTGAAGTATCCAGAATCTCAGTGAAGCATCCAAGACCACGGTGAAGCATCCAGGACCCCAGTGAAGCGTCCAAGACCCCAATGGAGCATCCACGACCCAAGAAGCATCCATAACCCCAGTGAAGCATCCACGAGAGACAGTGGACCATCCACGACCCCAGTGAGGCATCCAGGATCCCAGTAAAGTGTCCAAGACCCCAGTGAAGTGTCTAAGACCCCAGTAAAAAAGGTAGAGGAGATAGAGGATGGGATGGGAGTTGGTTGAGGCAGGGCGGACATGTAGCCTCGGGGTTGTTTATCCTGGCTCAGACCAACTGTTTCCCTTTCGCTCTCCTCCTCAGAGATCAAAATGTTTTCTGTCATTGTGACTGTTATCCTCTTGACCAATTTATTGTGATGTTCGTCAGGAGGGCGTTGGTGCGAAGAACAGTGTCTAGTGTGTGTGGTTGTGTGGTTGTGTGGTTGTCTCCACACTCACCAGGTTATGTTTGCAGGGGTAAAACTACTTACTCAAGGAACTATGTATGGAGTCTGCATCCATCTCTTCCTGATCTACCTCGCTTCAGTTATCACCCTGAGACGATACAATGTTTTTACATCTTGATGGCACATAAGCATATTTTAAATAATCTGTTGAATTACCTAATTATCATAATATAACATAATAATTTAAATCCCCTATCCCATTATACTCTATTTAGTAAAACTCTCATCCATGTATTATTATTATTATTATTATTATTATTATTATTATTATTATTATTATTATTATTATTATTATTATTATTAATAATAATATTATTATTATTATTTTTAATGGCTCATACAGAGTCTGGAAAAAATTAGATCATCAGATTTGACCAACGAAAATGGGAGAGCAACTCAAATTTTTTGGATCAAGAGCCACTCACTAACCTCAAGATACCCCCACTTGTAAGATCACATCTACATAATATCCTATTCTCTAGTTCCTGTATGCCTCCTATTCCTCTTCTCCCATGTTCCATTTCTGACTAGTATTCGTATTCGGAAATTATCAATCGTCCCTGGCTTTTGGTGGTTGTGATTTCATAATAAATATATTCCTATGCCCAATTCGAAAAAGGTTAATACCAGGCCCAGTCATGCTGGTTCATCTCTACCTCATGTTCTTGTTATGATGTGATATGATATGAATGGGGTGGTGATAGGATCGTGACTTACTGATGTATGCTGGAAATGTGTCTATTGTTGAGTGCATCTATGGTGGAGATTCCTGGTGGTGTGATGGGAATGTGGTGGTGTGAATGGTGTTGGTCGTGTTTTATTGATATGATGGTAGCAGCTATGTGATGGTGTGATGGTGTTAGTGGTTTGAGGTCGGGATGATGATGTAGTGTGGTGGTATGATGACGCTGATGCTATGGCGGTGGTGGTGATGATGTGGTGGAGGTGGTGGATAGCTCCACCCACTACACATCCCCCTCCTTCCCCATCACCGCCTGCCACGGGGTAATCGCTGTTTATCTTCAAACTGCTAACACTAGTGTTCCATCCTGAGCTCTGCTTTTCCCAAATTATACGTCCCTTTCCCACCGCCTGCGCCGCGGGAAACGTTGCAGTGCGTAATACTGAAAGCTTCTTTGTTTTCATTTTCTCTGCGATTGGTTGTAATGAGCTGACTACCGAGTGATGAGAGCCAAGTGTGTGATGTGGATGTCCTCGTTGTCGCACATCACCTGGCACGGAACACTGCTCACTGGTCAACTTTTTTCTGCTGCTGGGGGCCGCAGGGCTGTGACTGCCAGTGTAAACACACCCACCAACCTTCTGCCGTAGTTCTCGAGGGCTCTAGAAAACTGTGTCACGTGTCGGAATATTCCCGCATCATGAGGACGCTCATGGTGACGCCCACGGCTTCCTGCTTCCACCCAGCACATCGAAGCAGTCGAAAAGCAAACTGGCCATTCGGCAGTGAACGAAGCATTACAGATCTCGGAGAATCCTGACGATGGAAGGGGGGTATTTTTGGCCCACCAGCTCACCTGCGTTGGGGTGTGGGCGCCTGTGTAACCCTCTCTACCCCTACCACAAGCTCCTCCTCCCACCTCCTCCTTCTTCCCCTCCCCCAACTTAACCCCCACTCCCGTCAATTCCATAGTCATCACTGCAAAACTGGCTGCGTATAAAAGTGGCGGTCACCACGAACCTCCCTTCACACGTACACCATCTTCCAGTGTGTGTGGGTCTCCATAAGTCGCTCCGTCTGCTTGGTGAAGTGCACCTTCTGCAGCGCCTAGGTCAGCGTCGTTGTTCCCCCCTCCCTCCTTACGAAGAGTCATCAGGATGTCGCTGCAGCGTCAAGTGATGGTTAAGGTAGGTGGCGGGGGAAGGAGGCAGTGTGGGGCCCAAACCAAGAGATCATCTTCCCCTTCCCCCACCCCCACCACCTTCCCTCAAGCCCTCCCACACAACCAAAAATATTTTCCATGAAGGATTCTGGCAAATCATGGGACGAGAGTGAGCTGAATGTGACTCAAACGGGGGGGAGAGGTGAAAATAGCCACAGGTGAAGAGCTGGAGCAGCTGGAGGGAGCTTCCTCTCCCCGACAACACTTACGGTGAGCTAAGCAGTGATAAAGCTGACAAGCTTCAGCTGCGGCACTGGAGGGAGTGGCCCCCTTCACTGACCCGTCACCTCCCAGTCCACGCGCTATCCTTAAAATATCCAAGAATATTCTTGACACGTCTGGTTTTCTGTGACATTTTACAACTTCAGTCACGAAGATGGAGTCAAAACATTTAGCAGGGAGCCAACGCCTTCCCCTTTCTCTCTCTTTCTCTCTGTCTCTCTCTCTCTCTCTCTCTCTCTCTCTCTCTCTCTCTCTCTCAGTAACACAGCTTGATCATATATAAACCAGGAAGGATTTGCTCACGAAATGGACAGTTCTACCTGGCATGAATCCTTCCAAACGAAGTTAATCAGCATTATAAATGGCAGCGGGTCTTCAGTCTGTCATAGTGACCTTAATCACGGGTTTTCCAGATAATGATGATAAATAATGAGTGGCCATCAACGAGTTAGGTTAATCTAGCTTAAAAAAAAATTCGTTTTCTGCCTGTCTGCCCCATTTCAATCTCTCCCCCTCTCTCTCTCCTCTCTCTCTCTTTTCTCTCTCTCTCTCTCTCTCTCCTCTCTCTCTCCATCCCCTCCTCTCTCTCTCTCTCTCTCTCTCTCTCTCTCTCCCTCTCTCTCTCCCCTCTCTCTCTCACTCTCTCTCTCTCTCCCCTCTCTCTCTCTCTTCTCCTCCTCTCTCTCTCTTTCTCTCTCTCCCTTTCCATATATATATATAATATATATATATATATATATATATATATATATATATATATATATATATATATATATATATATATATTATGATATAGAGAATAGGACACATAAAAACAATCATTCAATGAAACTGGACTCAGGGTAGAGTAATTAACGTAAACTTCCGGATGTGCTAGATGCATGTACGAGGTGGTAATCACCTGTGTGTGGTCAAGTCTGGAACACCATTGTATCTCTTCAGGGCGAATCTTGAAATCACATCAGGAATCCCCTTACCCTAGAGGTGTCAATGTTGGATTGTGTTTCGGTAAGATCAGCTTCGATTGTTCTTCTCCTGTTGGTGTCTCCAATTTCGTTTAATATTTTGGCTTTATCCCTATTTATTCAAAGACTGATGCTTTAAGTATTGGAAGAAGGCCGAGAAATTCTGGCCGTATTTCACACATTTGAGCTCAGTTCCACAGTCTTAGTTTGAAGGTGACCTGCTGTCGTCCCTATGTCGAGCAGGTCACAGTCTTGACAAGGAATCTGATAAACACTCCGAGTCTCATCAGTCATTAGTCTCTTACATTTCTTTGAAAAAAAAACTGTCTATTTTATTTGGATACGTGGAATTTATGATAGATATTTGCTCATTTTTTTACTTTTTTTTTCAGTGGAGAAGATGATTATTTTATATTTTGTGTATTATCTGGGAGTCGGTAGATATAATTTATGATAATTGTGGTTAATTCCACGTGATCTTTCCTGAAGGTAGAAGTCAGTATACTCAGGTTTTATAAAGTTTTGTTGCTGGGTGAAACTTTCTGTATATAACAAGTTTGGACATGTGGGCTTCTTGACTTATCTGGAATAATTACTTCAAAAACAGTTGACATAATTTGGCGGATTTGTTGACTTTATAGAGTGAAGTCAATTTGTTGATTACCTATAATTGCTAGCTCATCCAAGCACGAACAACAAATGGAGCAATTCCTCAACTTTTTACACCAAATTAGATAAGTTAAGTGCTTCCATTAACTTTAATGTGGAGTCGGAATTCAATAACAAACAACACCCTGTTATCATTATTGGTTCCCAGTTTCTTGGGGACTTATTAGTCCAGCTCCGAGAAAAATATTATGGAATTTCCCTCCAGCACATATTCATTCAGCTCCTTCCATTTGCTTTGACAGTCACAAGCACTGTATCTCAACATACTGAAGAGGATCCCAGAAGGGGGTCGAAATATACAGATCAATTAATCTCCTGAGTTTCTATCTTCATGTGGGTTATTATAGAACATAGATAGTATACTTTAACATGGACAACAATAGCAAAATAAAAGCCAGCTAGTCCTTTTAACGTACAGAAAAAGAGTAAGATGAGTCTCAGTTGTCTTCGTAATAAAACATATTTTTTTTATATTTACGTAAAGCACTAAGCCCGTATGGCTCATTTAGTGCAAGGAATGGTGCGGACTCTATTCTCCGTTTGTCTTTCCAATAGAAACAGAGGAAGATTTCTTACCTGGTAGCACGGAAACGTCCAAAGCAGATCACTTCTTACAAACACAACACGAACAAAAGTGTCTTATATATAGTCCCAACTATTAAGGTGCAAATACGTTTCAAAAAGAGAGAAAAAGGCTCTTGCATGTCCTTTCTCTTCCAAAGAAACGTTTAGTTGAAGGAGTTTTGTCTGCAGTATTTGATACCAAAGAGGGGTAATGCTAAGGGGGGGGGATGATGCTAGGCGGCGCTAAGGGGGGTATCCGCCCTCTGCCCACCCTCCATTTAATACTAGCCAGCGTTGGTGGGAATTAGTGTTTCGTGGGAGCTAATTTATCATTGATGTCGGTCCAGAGTCATGATATAATCTCTTTAATATGTCCGTAGCACTAATGCACGCCGTGGGCGGAGACAGACGAGGGAAGTGAGGTAAGGGGAGGGTGAGGGAAGGAGGAGGTAGAGGGAAGGAGGGAAAAATGAGGAAGGGGTAAAGGGAAGAGAGGAGAGAAGATGGAGAGAGAGAGAGAGTAACAGACAGAGAGAGAGAGAGAGAGAGAGAGAGTAACAGACAGACAGAGATGAGAGATAGTGAGAGAGAGAGAGAGAAGAGAAGGAGGAAGAGAGAGAGTGAAAACTTGAAGAAAGAGGAGAGAAGAGGGTTAGGAAAAGTAGATGTATAAGGTGACTACTTCCCACAGGGTGTGGGTGAGATGTGACACTGTACTATACACTTAGACCAAACCCTGCCCCCTCCCCCCCCCCCCTCCCCCCCCCCTCCCCTTTTGCTCAA